TTATTAAGAAAATAGTATCCATGAGCATTAACTTAATTGTTTTTGAAACAGAACGGAAGAAGCACGAACCACGTCTTCCTCCCTTGAGCCTCCCGAAGCAACGGGCAATGGTAGCAACTTCAAGTTCTACCTGAAACTGTGAGGTGGCCTCCCCCGTGAAGGGGAGGTCAGTACTTGGAAATATTTGACAAGTACAATAGCAACTATACTAAGTATAATCAACGTTTTAATTTCCAAGACCCTCAAAATAGGGTGATATCATAATATAAATAATAATTTATATTTCCCACTTATTATCTTTATAATAAGTAAATTTATTTATTTGTCGGCACATGGCCCTTCTTATATATCCTTTTTCATTTATCATTTGCACAACCCAACCCTTGGGTCCTATTATTTCTACGGGACTTGCTACCGCTGTCCGAGACCTCATGAAGCTCCCGGTTCGGACTCCAACATCCCGCCCCTGGACTCGTACCCATCATCCCGTAGGAAGGTAAGGCCCTTCGGGGTCCTATCTTATGTGTTACCGCTACCGGAACCTAGTTAGGTCTCCGATTCGGATTCCACCCTAACCCGTGATCACGATGTAAGTCCATGCTATCCAACCCCGCTCTCTAGAGTCGGGAAGGGCCATGGTCCTTACTATTTCCATAATTCAACCGGCTATCCACAAGAATTACCGATCACGCCCGTAGGCCAATCCTATACTTAGGATCAATTTAATATTCACACTATCTTGGGTATCCCCTAAGGCCTACCCCTAGTATAACTTAAAGTTCATACTTTCCTACCTTAAAGCATCTCTTAAGACTACTTAAGGCATAACATTTCACAATCCAACCTTAGGATCAATCTTAACAACATTTCATTTTAATGTCCAACTAGTATCTTAATACTAGTCAAATTAATATCAACAAACCAAGTTCTCAACTCGTAGTCATATAGACAATTCCAACTGATTTTCCTTTGAAAATATCATTTATCTCAATATTCAAAATATCACTTTTAATCACTCATATATTCTAATATGAAAAAAAGTATATTTCAACATATGTTTCATAATAAATTCCACTTTTAAGGCAACATACTCATAACACATGAACATACACAATTTACTCTTAAATTTGTATATCATGCTCCCTTTTTCTTTAGACATTTAGTCTTTTCATTTTTAGGCATTATTAATCCTTAATAATCCATAAAAACACATTTAATTACCTTCGGTAATCTCGTGAAATTAACTCACTAATTATAAGCAATGTAGTCAGCCATCCTCACCTTATGATGTGCTGAAATAGTTGCCTTCGTTGAGCTCCCCGATAAATCCTCGTTTTAAACCGATGAAAGGCAAAAACTGGACTGCCTGGGCAAAAGCCGGACGGCTTTCACGAAAGCCGGGCGGCTTTCGTGTTCTGCAGAAACGGGCAGCTCCCTTAAAGTGGCGGTTTCCGGCGATTTCGACTCCTATCGATTCACGAACTCTTCTAAGTTAAATATCACCACTTTATATCAAAATTCTACACTTTTAAACGTGTAGAACATCATGTTTAACTCATCATATGATCCCCAAAAAAATCATACACAAAGTAACTAGTTAAAGAAGATAAATGAGTTCTTACCTTCTTCTAACTAGTTTTCTCCTAGGATTGTTTGTTGCTGCTGCTTCCCTCAAGCTTGGGCCGTGTGAAAGCTTCCTCTAGAGCTTCTCTCCCCCTTGCTTTGGTCGAATGGCTAGGACGGAAAGGATAGGATTGCTCTTCTCAATCCATGGGGAAATAATGGGAGTATAAGTCAAAGGAGGGGTGTGGGTTGTCTCCAATCACTCCCTCATGCTTATGTCCGCCCAACCCATTCCCTTTTGTCTCACTTCAGCTCCCCTTCTGTCAATTGGAGCACACAAAAACGTGGGATGGCCCCCACTCATGTGGGAGGTCATCCCATTACGTCCCGGTGTGTACAATTGGTCCCGAAAGTTGTATTTCTCGGCCCGTTTTAATTATATTTTATTTTATCGGGCTAAATAAAATATATCACGTGTTACTAATAATTATGGGCATTTAGAATAGATGTACTTTCCCCAACATTAATTTAGGAGTCTCCGAAACTCATTTCGGGCTGTTATCCGTTAAATTACCAATACCGGTAATTGGGCCTCGTTTGACCACCGGTCAACTCCGTGCCCTTCCTATGGCCCAAATAAAATATCCACAACCATATAAATGTCATCTTAGACCAAGATGAATATAATATGTGGTTCGGGAATTATCGGGCGGTCCCCGTTCCCGCTGTGGGTCCCACATGCAATTTACTATTCACGTAAAAGAAATAATAAAAATTTACAATTACGCAAATTCACAAATCATCTTTCAAGGTTCATTACATAATTTACTAAAAGTAAATATGCTCGGGGTCGGTGTTACACGACCACCCTCCCACTGTCGTTCCCAATCATTCGCGGAACAAGAAACGGTGCAAACCGCCTGTTGGAAAGACAAAACCCTAGACGAAAGCTAGGGAAAATATCACTTCTACGCTGCTATGAGCGTTAGCATATAATTGCCACAATAGTGAAGGACACAGCCAATATAATGCTAAGCTCTGCGGCTAAACTAGGAGCACCACGACTTTACTCTAATGCTAAGCTTTACCCTGCTCGGTGGCATTTTGGTAATTTAAATGACATTTGCGGCTTCCGGTAAATGAGCATTAATCCAATTTTAGTGAGCATCAAACTTATTTTGTTGAGTATTAGGAGCCTAACAATGAGCAAGATGATCACTGCTTCATATATTCTATTTCACTTTCTTTTTCTTATTTTATTTCATAAAAACTTGTTACTCCGTAAATTATATCTATACTCAAATCTTATGAATTTCAATGTGCGAATCTAATTTAATATGATACTTTTGAAATATGCATTGATATAACATTTTAAAAATGAGCATAACATATGTTGAGGTTTATTCCTTCAATCCGTAGGCCCAACACGTAACCCAATGATTTCAAGTGGATGTTTTGGTGATTAGATGATGAAACAAGCAAGAGTAAGCCCAATAAGAAGTCTTAATATAACACAATCGTTACAAGGCGTGAGGCCGTTCGTACAACTACTATGCTACGAGCTGGTATGAATGCTAGAATGCTAAGTTGCCAACCGTTTTCAATGAAATAAATATTACCACTTATACCGCCAATGGGTAGTTAGATACGCTGATGTGGCGAGCTGTGGGTGGCTAGGGTCCCAACCATCAAATCTTCTGAATTAAATGCGCTTCCCGCCAGAATCTAGGTTTCCCGCCCGTGGATGGCGACGGGCGTCCCCAAGAACTGACAACTTGGTATCCTGTGACGCCTTTTAGGGCTGATGTGCCATCTCGTTACCCTTCGACGTACGTCCCCCAATAGTTGTGCTCAGGATGCGGCTACTTGTTCCCCCTGTACAGGCGTCCTGGGGTCGAGCGTCCCTAGCGGGGACGAACTTCTTCTCTGCCTTGGGCTGTCTCCAGGGTAGCAGTCCCAGATGGCTTGGGCTTTAGGGGACGAATGTCTGGTGGGCCTTGAAGGGTTAATGACTAGACCCCTGTTGGGCCATTAACCCAACAACATCAATACCAAATAAGCATACATAACTTACAAAATGAGTATTACACCAATATCAAATGAACAAACATACTTTCAAAATGAGTATAAAAAAATTCAAAAAACTCAATTAAAATCTGTAGTATGCTCAAACATTATATGAGAATAGATAACCTATGAACGAGCATTGAAAAAATAAAACAAGCATTACACCAACATGCATGGATATGACATTTTAAAATGTATGACGCAATGCTCATTTTAAAATGAGTATTACACTAATACCAAATGAACATAGAAAATTTACGAAATGAGCATCGAAAAATTAAAAAATTCATTTGAAATCCTAATTGTAGTTTTAGTTGAAAATTGAGACTTCTGTTAATTGAGCATCATGACATTTCCATCGAGTATCAAAACTACTCTATTGAAATATGCATTGATATCTAAACGTGTTAAAAGTACATAATTACAAAAAACGTAGAAAATATATTCAAAACAAAACTATTATGTAGAACAAATCAAAGATATGTTAATATTATATACAAATGCAACAAACAATAAGATATTTTAATATTTTATCAAAAGAGGAGTGGACTTTCACTTTGTAAAATTTTCAAACAGTTGGTAGGCATTCAAGCTAATTAAAATTAAACTACAATTAATGAAAGAAAGAATTATTTTTAATCAAATTTTCATCTCAATTAATTCATTTTGGAATTCTCAATATTTAAATTTACATTTAAATTAAAGTTGCTGACATAATTAAGAGGAAAGAAAATGAAAAAAAGAAGTGGAAGTCTCAAAAACAAGTTGACCCTAGAGAATCCACTTCCTCAACCCCCTCTTCTCAGACGGCTACTCTTCTTCTTGAACGACACAAGCTAATCATCTCTTTCATCATCTATTTTCCAGGCAAGTCTCGAGTTAATTCCATGAAAAGTATGTGGATTTAGTTGTTGAAGAATTGATTTCTTAAAGGGACGCATCAAAATGGTTCGAAGATATAGTCCCCGGGGATTGAGCTGGGAAACACAAATGCAAAATGGAGGAGTAAATGACATCTGATTTGTGAATAATTGCAAAAATATCCGGTTATAATTAAAAAGGAAAATGATAAAATTTTGGAATTAAAAATAGATTTGGGAGTATTTAATTGATACTCCTCCCGAAAAGGTTGACCAAACTTGATTTTCACGTGGATTAATAAAGTAAAAACTGTGTAGTTGAAATTTGTGCAGAGAAAGAAAGAATTAATTTTAACCACTTATTTTTTACTTTAAATAAATAGAAATAATAGAAATGACAACCGGAAGGAGGGAGTATTACCTATTACTCGTATGAAGGAAAAAAACTCATTTCCCCTTCTTGCATTCTCCCCACTCCCACTCCCTCTTGCATTCTCCCACTCCTGTTCACTTCAGTTCTCTTCTCTGTGCTCTTTCAGGCCAGGTATTTATCTACCCTCTCTCCATTATCTTCTTTTCCTCCTCCCCACATCATCTTCTCCTCGGTTCTTTTCTCCTCAGCTACAGCAATCTTGTTTTGTTTGTTATGCCTTTTTGTCCCCTTTTCCCATAAATTAATTGGATTTTGTATTTGGCATTGATTTAATATGTACTTTTGGATTATCTGCATGTGGAATTTCTAATGGTCGCATGCTATGCAAGCAAACTGTTTGATAGAATGCTCGAGTGAGACGATAATATATGTCCGAATTATTAAAGCTTGTAATTTTCATTCATATGTGATGCGTGTAGGAATTTTATTGACGTATAGATAACAAAAAATTGTGGCCAAGTTGTATGGTTCATCCTAAAGAGTAAAACTGTAAAAGACCTATCACCTGAAGGTGAGTGTTTATTAATGAATTGATAACTGGATCGTTTTAATTAAAAGTTGGACACTTTTTTCAATTAATTAATACCCTCTATTTTTGTTATTTGTTCCCTATTCAGTTTACGAATACTTTTAAGTTCACAGAAGTTCTTAATATTGTGATATATGTTTTATATTTGCAATTATATGTATATATATAAAGGCCTCTCAAGTTGCAAAGGCCCAGTGGAGCTGCCATCTTTGTTGTTCTTAAGCTTGGTTTTGATTTTTCACTTTTCCAGCTGCCCTAGATGCCCCTCTTATCACTTGAAACAAAACTTGTACAACCTCAAGTGCTTATGGGTGTGACTATTAGGACGTGTTATCCTGGATTTATTTCATCTCTGACCAGATTTGTTCAGAACAAACTGAAATAGGCCAAACAAGGCTAGACTTAAATGGGTCAGAACACAAAGGAGACTTGCAACACAATATTACAGCTAAAACCAAGCAAGACGTAAATAGACCCAGCAAAATTTATTCCTAGATAACATGTCCTTAACAGAAGATTTGTAGAAAATGATGATATGTTTTTCTCTTAAAAGAAGAAAACAAATGTTTCGGGTTATTGACAGTTTTTATTAAAAAGTGCTCTATAAATTATTTCAATATTTTAATATATCTTTTAATGATACTAGGAGTGGAATGGATTGTAGAGTTCTTTCATACAATGGGACCTATAGATATACCCACGGTACAATTACTGGTCGAAAGAATTCTCATATGCAAGCAGGTATACTGAATTTACCATCCGCTTTTAGTAAACTGTGCTGATTTTTCCCCACCAATCACTTTGTGAAGAAAATTCAGTTGTTTGTCTATGTGTTTTAGTTGTGTTGTTTTATGTCACGAGTTGAGATGTGAAATACGTCTCTGTTTTTTTTGTTTGTTGCTCCATAGTGCAAGTCCAAATTGCTTGTAATTCATGTTACAGGCAGTAAAAAGGCAGAGCTATTATTTTATTTACCTGTTTTTCATTTGCCTTGCTTTTCTACTTATGTTTATGTGCTGTATACTAAAATGGCCTTTTATTCATTCATTTCCCCCCTGAGTTTTTACCCTGATACGATTGTTTGTGCAGGGTCATTTTGTAAGATAATCTGGTCTGCAATGAAGTCTTATAGGCTGTCAGAGCTATCTCAGTCTGAGGCTGATAGACTAAAAACTCGTCCTCGTATTGATTTCTCTTCAATTTTCAACCTTGTGTGTAACTGTGTATCTTATTTGCTTAATTGCTAAATTTTGACACCATCTGTATTGTGTGGGTTTGTACACACCACATTTACAGACCCTTAAACTGATTTCTTAATCTCATCATGATTATTTAATTAACAATTTTTAGGTCCAGCCCATTGTTAATGATGTTCGTAGTAGAGGGGATGCTGCCGTAAAAGAGTGAGTGCCAGTTTGCATGTGTAATGTGTTTATCTCATATGTCATTGGAGAAGTTGGATTTCAAATTATTATTACTTCTGTGTTGGATGAGTTGAATGGATCTGCTCTATATGTATTAGTGCCTTACATTTTCGAATAAAATGATCAAGCCCAATGCACTTTGAATTTTTATTCTAGATAAATTTCAAATGAATGTCATCGATATCATAGATCGATTCATGTTAGCCGACTCCAAATTCTTTTGGGATTAAGGCGTGGATGTTGTTGTTGTTGTTGTTGTATAAATTTCAAATGAAGAAACTTAGTTGTGTTGAATGCCAACACTAACCTGACTCTACTGTTATGGGCTTAGATGCTAATCCCATCAAACTGAAGATAAATATCCAATGTCTGAAACATAGATTAATTAATATGTATAACTATGTATATATTAGCGCATTTTGTACTTTCATTCACACCATTTATGATGATTCACACCATTTAACACAATTAATCTTCTCACAGTCAACAAGTTGAACTAACTATGTAGCTGGGGGGAATAATTTTTTTTAGAATTTTATTGTATAATTTTATTAATGAAAAATGCCTTGATACATACAATGAAGAATTTAGGTTCATGGTGGTTTGATTTTGCTATTTTTGCAGACTTGTAGTGATATTTACATGTTCTGAGTACATTAGTTAGGATTATTTTTAAGTTTGTAGGTTCTACAGTTCTTTAGATATCAACATAAAGAATTAAAGTGCATAAGAGAACTAAAGAAGTTGATGTCAAGACAGACAGTATTTATGTGGTATTGTATTTATAATTTTATATATTTTTATACTTTTTGACAGCTATACCATCCAATATGACAAGGCTGAAGTGGACAAGATTGTTGAACATGTAAATGAACTTCCTGACCCCGAGGTATCCACTTCCAATGCTCATATAAATTTTAAATGCCATTCTTTTGCTTATATGGTTCTAGAAAATAATTTGGGTATTGGATCTCGTTTGATATTTGTTCTCGCTATGTCTAAATCAATGAACTTACAACATCGGCTTAACACTTCAAGGTATGCTAATTGACACCGTTTTTTCTTGTTTCAGCTTCGGACAGATGTTCGTGAGGCATTTGATATAGCTTATGACAATATATATGCCTTTCATGCTGCCCAAAAACCTGCTGAGAGAACTGTTGAAAGCATGCCCGTATGCAATGGTTATGTATGAGTATATAATCTTATTTTGTAGTAAATTATTATGAACTCTTGAATTTCCATGTCTACAGGGTGTCACATGCAAACGTGTAGCAAGGAGCATTGCTTCTGTAGGTCTTTATGTTCCAGGTGGAACTGCTGTTTTACCTTCAACTGCCCTGATGCTTGCAGTTGTATGATGGTTTTGCTTACTGATTCAGTTAATAGTTAGATGTATTCCACTTTGGCTTTTAATTGATGATTATTTTCCACTTAATGTTGACTGTTTATTTTTCCTTTGGATCACCAGCCTGCCCAAATTGCTGGGTGCAAAACTGTTGTACTTGCAACTCCACCAACTCGGGATGGTAGCATTTGCAAGGTATGGATTCACGGTACTTTTGTTCTAATCATATGTCAAAAAAGTTTCTCAGGGAAACTGACTGATGGCTTTTTAGGAAGTCCTTTATTGTGCCAAGAAATCTGGTGTCACTCACATTCTTAAAGCTGGAGGGGCTCAGGTTCGAGTCATAGTCACACTTGGTACAAGATTCTTAAGGTTTCTATGATAGTGACATCCTTTATTGTGCTGTCCTTTTTGCAGGCCATTTCTGCAATGGCATGGGGGACCGAATCTTGTCCCAAGGTAGCTAGCTCAACATGATGACTTTATCTTGTGGTACTTTTGTAGTTCTGTTAAAGAAGCTACTCGTGTTTTCTGTTTAGAGTTAAACTTTTGGATATGCTTAGATGTTCTCTACAGTCTACATAATTGACGCAGGAAGGACTTCTAGTATGTTGGTTCCATAACGTTCTTGAGTTTTTCTGAGTGCCTATGCCTGTTCTTTGGTGATGTATGTGTAATAAAATCACTACATGTATGAGTTTTCTGACCATATCGTGTGTCCAAGGGCATGTAATATGCACCTAAAACATTTGATGCTACTGTGTATCCCCCCTTTTCAATAAGGACCATGGAAATTTTAGTTGTAACCTATAATTCACAAAAAAAATCAAGAGGAACCAATTTCGTGTCTTATAAATGTTCTTTTTATAGAAAATTCACAGAAACCTTATCAAAACGTTTGGGCATTTCTGTAAATAAATGTTTTGAGACCGTTTTAGTAAATAAATGAACAATTTTAAAGTTTACTTCCTAAAATAATCTTGTTTCTCACTAAAACTTGTTACATTTTTAAACTTGTGATCCAGTTCCTTGGAAGAAACAATGATTTAACGCTGCTTAAGTGCTTATGCTATGTGTAAGTCTATCCTTTTATAAAATTTTATTCTTTATTCAAAATTTACATTTCCATATTAATTTTGTATGGAGTAACTTGTAAATTACTAATAATTGTCCATATTTATACAGAAAGAATATTTGTGTATATGCCCATATATGTATTTTTTAACACCTAATCGTTTTATCCAATGTCTTATGCCTACATTTAAACAAAAAATGTTTTCTCATGTGTTGTGTCCGTTTTTTTATTTTCAATATCTGGTCCATGTACTATACATAGAATGTGACATGACAGGTTGAAAAGATATATGGTCCAGGAAATCAGTATGTGACTGCTGCAAAAATGATCCTTCAGGTATTCATTATACAATGACATCAAAAGGTCGCTAATCTTTATTTCTATGCAGATTTTTAATTCTTCAGATATTCATTAAAGACATCAAAAGCTTGCTAATCTTTATTTTCATCTGACGTTGTAATGGTTATTTTGCTTTGGTGTATAAATTTTAACTTTTATCTGTTTAACGAAAGTAGTTTTTTTTGGACAGAATAGTGAGGCTATGGTTTCAATTGATATGCCTGCTGGACCATCAGAAGTTCTTGTTATAGCTGACAAGGATGCTAGTCCTGTTCATATTGCAGCGGACTTACTTTCTCAGGTATACACTGCTGGTTCAATTCCATTTTCCATTTTAGTTTTAACTTCTGAGTAAATGTTGGTGTGATGATTCATTTGTTACACTGAATTTGTAGATGTTGCAACGGAATAAATGTTTGAAAATTAAGTTAGGAACTTCTGATTTGTTTCTCTTTTTAAATCACATGTTCAGGAAGTGTTTGTTTTCTATTTTTGGTGGCTGGTTAAGTGGGATATGGGTGATAGATAGGCGAGAGTGCAAGTATTTTTTTCCCAATTCTATGAAGAACATTGTTTTTGCATAAACAACAGGTTCATTCCTTATCCATAGTAAAAACCGGTAAAGTAATTTCATATAATGCCAGCATGCAAGAAAGAAGGATCTGGGCCTGGAATTCTCCATTTCCAATACTTTTCCTGTCTTTACTTTCTTTTTACTTTTGTGTTTCAAACATTGTTTAGAAATATTAGTGGAATAGTACCAGCTCTTTGCCTTCTCTTTGTTGACATTAGTTGTGTAGGAATCAAATTTTACCTACTCAGTTGATCATATGAATTACCACTTCACCTTCCAACTTACAGGCAGAACATGGCCCGGATAGCCAGGTAGTTCTTGTAATTGTTGGGGATGATGTAAATCTAACAGCTATACACGAGGAACTGAACCGGCAGTGTCAAAGTCTTCCGAGGGGAGAATTTGCATCAAAGGCTCTTGATCATAGTTTTACTGTATTTGCACATGATATGATTGAGGTGCATTTTCTACCCTTTGCTTGGTTGCATAAAGATGTGCTTTACAGCTTCTTTGCTACTGTTGAGTTTAATCCAACACGATATAATAAATATAGATATAATTTGGTATGAACACTCGATTTTACGTGGAAACCCGGAAAGGGAGAAAACCACGGGACTGTTTCGGTTAATGTCCAAAGTGTTGAGTTTAATCCAACACGATATAATAAATATAGATATAATTTGGTATGGACACTCGATTTTACGTGGAAACCCGGAAAGGGAGAAAACCACGGGACTGTTTCGGCTAATGTCCAAGCCCGCTCATTTTATTAATGCCCTCATCACCTTTACTGTACAAACCCCATTCATGGAGTATTCAAGCTAACTATAGAGAGGGAGGAGGAAGAGAGATGGATCCTTAATAAGGAGGGGAGTCCTCCTATTTATAGAGGAAAGGGGGAGGGGTGCTCCACCCTAATGGGCCAAGCGGCCAGATGGGCCCGTTGGGTGAAGGTGAGCCGGATGGCCAAAAATGGGCCGAAACGGGCCTCACTGATTGGGCTCCGTACCAAATAATGCCACGGGCTCCTGTACAGTGGTAGGTCGAGCTATTATATCTCAACAGCTACCTTTAGTAATTTTGTTTTCTTTGATACCTTTAATTAATGACTTGAAATATTGTGCTGTATCATTGTTTGTGTTTGCTGACTCTAAATTCCATATTGGAACAGGCGATTTCTTTTTCAAACATGTATGCACCCGAACATTTAATCATAAATGTAAAAGATGCTGCGAAGTGGGAGAATTTCATTGAGAATGCAGGTATATTGTATTTTTTTGCTGATAAAAGTCTTGTGGGTTTTGATGGAAACAAGGAATATGATCCATCTTTTGGTGTTTCCTTTACATTTATTTTTATATACATCGGTTTCTAATTTCAATTGTTTGTGCTGCATACACTGATTGCATAAGGTATTTGTTGTCTGCCAGTGCACTTGTTTCCCGGTCTCTTTAATTTCAGTCCCAGTGTGCTCTGTTATTTGCTTTTTCTCCTGCACTGCATTTGCCATTATGGTGCTCCTTGACAATTTCTGTTTTTATTCTTACCTTATGTGGTTGGGGGATTTTGGAGAGGGGTGATTTTTTAATAACAATTGTTCCTCCTTCCCGCAATATCATGCCATGCTTGACGTGAAGGAGTGAGAATTGTGATGCGAAGGCGAGGAAAATAATAGGCTTAGTTCATAAAAATTATCCCTACTTATATGGATTCTAGTGTTCTACAATAATAACTAGACAATGAACCCGTGCGTTGCACGGGAAAAATTGACTCACATTACTTAAGTAAAAAAGAGATTGAATGAATATTGTATACTACCTCTGGCCCGGGTAATGGTCCCAGATGAGTTTACGGTATTTGACATGTCATAAACTTAAGTGATCCTTGTTAATAATAATAAAAAATTTAGTAAATTAAATTTACATATTCAAAAATTACATTAAAAGTCTTGTAAAGTTACAAAAAAACTCAAAGTTGATAAAAATTGGATATATAAAGAAAAAGGTCAAGAAAAATTTACATTAATTTTCATCTAATTTTTCATTTCATTAATTAAATATATTTTAAATACGGAGTATAGTTTTTCTATAATTTAGCAGAATAAGAAAATTCAATCAGTTTAGTCAGAATTTCATAATTTCAGCAGTTTTAACTGATTATATATGTTACTTCTTCACTTGACTTCCATGGATGCCAGCCACTTATGAGAGAATGAACTTTCATGGGTGTTTTTTAGGGGATCACCAAAGCGGTTCGGTTTGAGTAAACCAAATTGTACTAAATTGAACCGAAATCAAATCATACGCAATTTCGTTTGAATTTAGTGGTATATCTTTGAAATCAAATTAAATCAAACTAAAACAAATTTAGACCGTGAGAAATCGAATAAGGTCGAGCTGAACTCATCAAATAGTCAATAGATTCTTAATATTTTTTTTAAACATAACAAATTCAAACCGAAACGAATTGAATTAATCGAACTAAACCAAAACATAGTATGATTCCAATCTGTTTCAAACCCAATTGAATTGATATTAAAACCGAATTGTAACCGATGTGCTCACCCTAGTATTTTTTTAATATAAATTTGTTACTCAATGAGTTTTATTTTATAAGAGAAATAATTCTTTTTAGACTAAAAAATATGTTTTTTTTTAAATTGAAGAAACTAATTTTTTACTTTTCTATTTTATTTTTTATCTACATTTTTATCCACTTAATTTTTGTAAATTTGGGCTACTTTTTCATATCCATTGAATCTATAAATTGTAAGGACATGTGGTAGTAATTACAAATTTGAATAACTTTCTAGAATTGTAATTGGATTCAAGTAATTATGGACGTCGATAATGGATTCCTTAATTTGTTCAAATTTTATGTGTATTCACCCTTGTGATCGCAGACATGTGGTACGACAATATATATGGTACATAAAATGCATATCTTCATTATAATTCAAGTAAATTTAACGTTGGTCAAAAATTGTTCATCGCAAAAAGTCAATTGTCTTGTAGTGGACGATTGAATTGTATGCCTGTTTTGATTATATTATTATAAAATTGATATAGTAAGTCATTGTAGCTCAATTTTAATAAAAAAGTTATTGTACCTCGATCATTTGAGTCTCATGCATTGGTCAAGCATCTCACATTCAAACATCTCCTTTAGTATGAATTGTCTACCATATATAATAAATAACTTAATTTAATGTTATGACTTGAAGAATGATTCAATGCAGGAATATGCGGGAATAATTGGAGAAATCAAATTGTCCACCCAATTCTTTTATATTATATAAAGATCTCTAGAGAGTGTTCATAAAAATAATCCGAACTAGCAATAGTGTCCACGAGAATAATTTGAGATGAATTCAAACTAATGCTCTTCATTTCCTTCTTCCCGTTTATTACTTGATTTTCATTTTTATGTATTTTTTCAGATTAGTTCTCTGATAAAAGATCTTTTTCTCACCTTACTAATTTTTTATTTTACTTTCTTTTTACTTCCACTTTTTGTTCTTTTTTTCCCTATATTTTTCTGACCTTAATTCCACCACCTATTATTTATTATCTAAATGATGGACTCATTTAGAAAAATATGGTGATGCAGAAATAAGAAAAATATATTAGTGGTGGAATTAAGGTAAGAAAAATAAAAACGAAAAAATAAGTGGAAATGAGAAAAAAGAAAGTAAAGTAAAAAATTAGAAGGGTGAGAAAAAGATCTTTTATAAGAAGGGAACTAATCTCAAAAAATACATACAAATGAAAATCAAATAATAAACTGGAAGAAGGAAAAAGGGAATACATAAACATGGAAAAAGAATAAAAATAAGAAGACAAAAGAAGGGAATAAAAGAGTCAAGAGGATAAAAATAAAGAGAACTTTTAGGGAGAAAAAATGATACTCCGTATGTGGGATCATTTTGAGAAGATTTGTAACGGGTGGGATTTATGGTTTAATAATCTTCAAAGAAAAGAAAATAATCCATAATAGCAAGTCATCAACATGTCAGAGATCGATAAAAGAAGATGGAGTGCAAATATGAGATTATTCCTAATTTAGAGCTAGGTGGGATTATTAGTTTCCATCTCCTTTTATATGATCTGTTTTTATTTTTTTATTATCTTTCTTTTCCTTTTGGCTCCGATATCTTGTATTGATTCATTCATGTTAGCCGACCGCAAAACCTTTTGGGACTAAGGCTTGGATATTGTTGTTGGTGTTGTCATCCTCAATGTCAAATTAAATCATTTTATTTAGCTAAGAGCACCAAGTCACATTGCATGAGCAGGCTCTGTATTTTTGGGGCAGTGGACACCCGAGAGTGTGGGCGATTATGCCAGCGGAACAAATCACGTCCTTCCAACTTATGGCTATGCAAGGATGTATGGTGGGGTGTGTTTAGACTCATTTCTAAAATACATCACTGTACAATCTCTGACTGAAGAAGGCCTGAGAAACATAGGCCCTTGTGTTGCTACCATGGCTGATGTTGAAGGTCTGGAAGCCCACAAGAGGGCAGTCACCCTCAGACTGCAAGACCTTGAAGCACGCGAAATGCTTCCTGCTGCTAGATCATCATAACAAAATAATCCGAGTTACTGTTGTTTCAAACTTTCTGGAATCACAACTGTCAAATATATTGGTTAATCTGAGATATGCATGGTCTGTTAACTCCTCACACAGAGTTTGATGAGTTAAAAGGGTTTTGAAGTCTAGAATTTGTTTAGAAGATATTACAAGGGAAATTGAATGACTATTGTGTGAACTCTAAGTGTTAGTGATGTAACAACTACCGTTATGCTGATATGTTGATGACTTGTCTTCTACTTCATCAATTTTACACCTCCTCAAGTACTAACAACGTATTTCATATGGAATTATGGATGGTGAAAATTAATAATATGTTCAGTCTGTATAGCCCACCCAACGGCTATATAGTCGTTTGGGTAGTCCCCAGCCCACCCCCAACGGCTCTATTGGCCCAAAAACAATTTTTTTTTATAACTAGCCGTTGTGACCCGGACCTGGGCCTGACCCGGCCGGGCCGGGTCATGTTTTGCCGGAACCGAACCCGCTCCCGCTGCCCCCCGGTTCGGGTCTACACTCGGTCCCGGACCACCAGATCGGGCTGGTCCCGGGCCCGCACAGTAGCGGGCCGGGCTGGGTGGCCGGAACAGAATCCATCACTATGTTCAGAATTATGAATACATGTGCCAAATTTTAATGAGAAATGTTGTTTGTACATGCATACTACACGTCAGGTCGGATTGTCTGCACAAAGATAGGTTTTTTCTTTTTGGGAAGAGAATAGCAATACAAAAAAATGGTCTATGCATGGATAATTCGGCCGGTGTGTAATATGGCGTGTACGACTTGATGGGTAACGAAGCATGGTTGAATTTTAATAGCTTATTTTATACAAAAAAAATCCCAAACAGTGTGAGTTAATTATTTAAAGTTAGGTTATTTTATCTATAGCTTATTTTATCTATAGATAGGTTATTTTATCTATAGCTTATTTTATACAAGCAATAAATAAAGTTAAGGAATAATTGATTGTAATAATCTCAACTATTGACATTCCGCTTATAATAATCCCAACTATCGATTATCTCAGAATAATCCCAACTTTAGTGACCTTCTGCCAATAATGGTCCATGACCAGATATGACCTGTTATAACAGTGAATTTTAAACAGAAATAAAGCATAAAAATTAAAAGTTGAATTATTTATAGGGGATTGATTGTTATATCTCTTGTCATCCACTTTAGAAATTATAGGAACTTATTTATAGTCGGTCATGTCGGACCATTATTGGAGGAAAGTCACTAAAGTTGGGATTATTCTGAGATAATCGATAGTTGAGATTATTATAAGCGGACCGCTAATAGTTGAGATTATTACAATCAATTTTTTCTAAAGTTAATTCTTTTTAGGGCCAAAACCTGCGAGTTCGAAACCATGTCCTAGGGTGGAACGAGAAAATTTCCAAACAGTGTGAGTTTTCAACACCCCATGCAAAACCATAGGAGTCTGCGTTAGGGTACAAAAAACGAGATTTGGAATTACCAATTCCGAATGGAAAAAACAATGGAGTGGTTAAGGAAAATATAAAATTCCATTTTTTTTTTTGAAATGTTGTAACTTACTACCTTCGTCCCAAAAAAGACTTCTCACTTTCTTTTTTGGGCTGTTCCAAAAAATACTTCTCACTCCCTTTTTGGACAATTTGTATGTCTCACATTCATTTTACCTTTTTTTACACAACTACAAGCATACATTTCCACTTTATTCCACTTTCTTAATAAACGTGCCAATTCAAACCGGGAATTATTTTTTGGGACGGAGGGAGTATTTATTTGTAGTCTAATTTTTACAAAAAATATAAAAAAGTTCATGTTGTTTTTTATCTTTCATTTGAACACAATATTGCATATATAAAGTAAAAAATGAAGTTTCAACAATAGGAGGTTTTAGTTTCAAAATTTTTCTTAAATAGATCCAAGTGCTAAAATTAAAATCTCATTTTTAAAATAATTGAAACATGTAAAAAAAGGTATGTTAACAATGAGATATCAATTTTTGCACTAGTTTCAATTGCAAAAAAAAAAATTGGGTCTGAAAACTTTCTACAGTTGAAACTCCAAAAACTTTATATTTAATATTGATGTCATTAGAAAGATCATAAAAATGTGTGAAATTTAATACTCCCTCCGTTTCTGAAACAAGTTCCACCTTTTCTTTTCGAGCATATTCAAAATTAAGTTCAACCTTCAAACATTTCCTTATTTGGCAAATTATCTACATCAAAACAATGTCAAACAATGGTCAAACAATGCCAAACAGTGCACTCCACAGTAAAGTCAAATTTATTTTTTTAATATGTGTGAAGTCAAATGTGGAACTTGTTTCAGAAATGGAGGGAGTAGATTTTTTGTAACATTTGGGACAATATTTTTAAAACAAAGTGTTTCAATATTGGCAAGAAATAAATACCCGGTCCGGTATTAGTGTTGAAAGTTCAGCCAACATCCGGCGTTACCTATTCCCGTATTTTCAGAAAACATCCGTTAGAGTGGCCTCTGGTCCAGTTCTCGGAGGAAATGACGAAACTACGGGAGTTTCAAACATGTCATGCAAAAAAACGGGTATGAAAATAAAGCTAACATGGACATTTTGAACTCCTAAGTTCTTACACTGGGGATCAAATTGGGAGGCCAAAATTGGACAAGTCAACTACAGGACCATTGGGATAAATTGTTTTTAAAGTGTTACTACTTTTTTAATTGAATTCCAATTTTCACAACAATAAAATGAGATTCATGTTCCTTCCTCCAAATGAATTGGAAGGAAAACAAAACTATTAGATTAATTTCATAGTAGGGATGGACTCGGGTCCGGGTCGGGCCTAGGCCCGGGCGGGCCGGCGGTTCAGGAGTGGTGGACCCGGGACCGGCCCGGGTAACCACTGGGTCCGGGCCGGGCCCATTATCAATTTTTTTTTCCTCTTCCTAAATGGCCCAAAATACCCAGCCCAACCCGAAAATTTAAAAAAAATTGAAAAAAAATAGTTTTGGCCCGAACTCGTTATGATCTTTCCAACAAGATATAAAAAAAATGGTCAATGACCGGGCCACCGGGTCGGGCCGGGCCGGAACAGTGCCAGTCCCGGGTCGGTTCCGGGTCGGGCCACCCGACCCGAGTCCATCCATATTTCATAGTGTTCTATTCGCTTTTAAAATTACTAAATGAATAGGTGGTAATTAATATTTTATCACTCGAAAGAAACATGTATTTTCTTAATTAAAGAACAGAGGGAGAGTAGTAACTATACATTGAGGGACAAATAAAAATTACAATGTGACGCCATTGTTGGCCTCTGAAAATTGTTGTCGCAGAACTCTACGCATAACTTTATTTGTTGCGGTTCTAGGTAGGGAAGGGAGGGCTACAGTGTTCGAAACCTGCATATTGCATTAATTAGGTGGCTGAACTTCAACACTAGCAATCAGAGCAGAAGTGATATTAGTGCCTTACCTTGAACAGAGGGTTCAATTTCTTTTGCAGAGCCAAGTTGAAGGAAATCGTCAATTTGTTCAAGTTGTGATTCGATTCGTCTGAATCCTTAAAGACAACTACAATTACTAACTTCTCAGGACCACCTCCAGCAGGTGGCACGCCAATGGCTGCAGTCTCTAGAATATCAACATCAACAGCATTACAAATGCGCTCAATCTCGAGGGAACTTACCTGACAAACAAAGTAGGTATATCACTAGTCAAATTAAAACTGATAATCCATTAGCTAATTTAGAAGATGCATTCAGTTGGCATGATTTGCCATTGTGTGTAAGCAGAGACCTTGATACCACCCAGATTCATCGTATCATCTGCTCTACCCTGGGGACGATAATACCCTTTACAAGTACGCTCTATGACATCTCCGTGTCGTCTCAGGATCTACACAAGCAAAGAAAGAATAGTGAGGCATAATCATCAGCATCACATTAATCCTAACTTCATTGGGGTCAAAGACATAGAATTTAAAATATAAAAATGGTCTTATGTAATATCACATGCACATCTTCATAGCGAGCAGGGAACATAAAACCATGCAAATTAGAGTGCCATGAGTGTTTACTTGCCTTTCCATTCCATGCAGGCATTCCTTTGAAATAAACCTTGTAGTGGTCTGCATTCAGCAGCGTGCTGGATGCTCCAAACATGAGAGGACCAAGGGCCAATTCACCAATTCCAGGGACATCCGATGCCTATGAGATTGATAAAAACAGAAGCAATTTCACTTTTGATAATTCGATCCCATGAGTATGATGCCATTTGACCATTTCTACTTTTGGTCTGTATATCACATTTTGTCCATCTGGTTGATTCGCAGGCCAAAATTATGGTGCCAGCCAATGTGGCCAAAGTTCTCTCACCCCCCCCCCCCACCTAACCAACACCCCTCTATCCATAAAACATTCAACCTTCTTCGCTCCACTTCGCACTGCCAATGAAGCTGGGATGGTTAATCCATTATTCTTTGATTGGTCCTGCACTTTCCATCTGAGAGTTTTATCTCACCTTTCATTATTCCATCTTTTGAATTTGCCCCCTTTCAAATTTTAACTGTTGTGCACTTCCTTCATTTTTATATTATGTGTGCTATAATTGATTCAATCAAACCAGTTCTGCTATAGTTCAGCTTTCTTTGTAATTAAATGCTTCCAGATTTTGTTCTCATGGGAATCAGTTTGTTTTGGAGCCATGTTGAAATGATAATCTATTGTTCTGTTTTCCATGTTTTGGAGTATTCTGAAATGCACTCACAAACAATACAGAAGAGAAGAGTTTGAGCAACTATTGAGGTCCAAGTTACAGATTCAACAGTAAAAGTGGAAGATAGAGATTGAGGAGATACAGGGAAGACAACAAGAGCAGAAAGAGAAAGGAGGTGCGGATAGGGGGAAAGACAAAAGGGATAAGTTAGGTGGTTAGGGCAGAGAAGAAAGGGCGGGGTTGGTTGATGTGTCATTTCATATGCGGTGGCCGTACCATGTAGGCTATTTAAAATTATGTTGCATGGAATATGATAAGCATGGAAAAACGTGAAAAGGGAAACACCATCTTTCAACATAAAAACAAGTGTTTGAAGAGTTTCTAAAGAGTTTTCAGAGTTTTCGAAATGGAAAAGTCCACTTTCCCGAGGACGTCTGCTTCATAGATTTAAAATGAAGTGGCCATGCATAAATGCATTGTAGGCTGACCTCAGACTTTTGGCAGAAAAGTCCGTCGGAAGGATGAAATGTAGCATCAAATTGTAGTCATGCACTAAATGAGGAAAAAGTAAGACAGGGATCACATACAATCACGAATTTTGCACCAATGTATTTCATATTGTTTCATTAGGAGTAATTTTCTAAAACTGTTTGCTTAGTGAAGGATTACGCACAATTGTATACAAAAGTGGGTCGATAACTTCTTCAAAAAAATTAATCGAATAAGAAAATTAGGGGTAAGTGCTAGCACAAACCTGATGTCATGTAAAAAATTAAGCAGCAAATAGTCAAATACTTACAATAGGAAATCCGTCCTTGCCAATAATGTAGAGGCTACAGCCTATAGCTGCTGTGCTAAATGCAGCCAAAGATTGAGCCTGTAGCAAGGAACCAGTTACAAAGCCTCCACCAATCTCTGTTCCACCACAATACTCTATCACAGGTTTATATCGAGCTCTTCCCATAAGCCAGAGGTATTCATCTACACTGGATGCCTCACCGCTGGAGCCAAAGCAACTACCATCATATGGAAACAAAGTAAGGCCATTAACTAACTGGGCAAGAAATTGAAAGAGAAGGTTGGAAATGTGAATGGGTATTTAAAAAGAAAAGCACTTATATAGTGGTGTCTTGAACAGAAGTCAAACCTAAGACCACAATCATAAACCTACCGAATGGTTGACCAATCAAAGCCAGATGTACAATTTGTAGTTTTCCATGTTCTCACAATGCTCGGGATCACACCTAGCATCGTTACTTTGGCATCCTACATAATAACAGAATGTATGTAAAGATGGGAAAGAGTAGAAGCATTACAAAAAATAGTAGTCAACCAATTCAGTACTCTCTCCAGTCTCTACATAACTTCATTTTTCATTAATCCCAAAATTATTGTTCATCGCCTTTCAAGGAAAGAATACGTGTTTCACAATATTTCTCTCTTCTAAACAAAACTAAACCACATAATTTTCATTTTCTTATGCTCCGAGCCCACTCAAATTGGAACAATAATTTTGGGACGGATGGAGTACAACATTTATAGAGTGTGTTTTTATCGAAGTGTGTAAAGCCTCTGAGAGAGCTTATTTAAATCAGTTTTCCCTTCCTTTCACTCATCTAAGGTTAGGCACTGTGAAATTGGAATGGTATTTTTTTACTCTATTTCCCTTCTTGATCTAGTGGAATCAGAGACACATTCCTTCATGTAACATAAGTTTCTTTGAGGCGGTGGGGGGATAATATCCATAGTCGAGTTAGCTCCTTGTTCACCTTTTGTCTATTAAAGAAAGGGCTAGAGGAAAGAAGGTATCTATATATGTGCATATGAATGAGAAAATTAACCAAGAAGAAAAATTATCAGGACTCATTTTATAGTGCATAAAAATAAACTGCATATGGGATCAATGTGGATACTCCATAAGATTTGAAAAGTTGCTATCTTAGTCACAAGCAGCACGTTAGAACAAGAACAGGCTTACTCACCTGTACAAACTTAGCAAAGCCAGAACCAAGAGGTGATCCATTATACAAGGCCATGGATGCCCCATTAAGCAATGAAGCATAAACCAACCAAGGTCCCATCATCCAGCCCAAATTAGTTGGCCAAGCAACTACATCACCCCTTTGGATATCCATGTGGCACCAACCATCAGCAGCAGCCTTCAAAGGTGTTATAGCAGACCATGGAATTGCTTTTGGCTCTCCTGCAGCATATAAAGCAGATATGGTTAGACACACTATTAAATCAAAACTTGTTTGAATGTAAACTTCTATGTATACAGAACAGTTCTTAAAGTGCTTTGGAAACTGTGATTTCTTTTGCCTCTTTATGTGCTTAAGAACTTCTTCTCAAAATAGGAACATACGTGAGATCAAACTGTTGTTTGTGTTGGAAAATAAAGTAACTATTATGATTCTTGGTTGGTATTTAACATACCTGTTGTTCCAGAAGAGAAAAGAATATTTGTGAATGCCTCAGTAGGTACATCTACCGCATCAAGCTCTCTGCAACTGGTAAGAGACCCCAAATTATTAATCCACTTGCATTAGAGGTTATCTTCATAATTACTTTTAGAGCATCTCAATAATGAATTGTAGTATTTTCTATTATTGGGCTGCGAATATAAATAACAGCCCTTTAGATACTAAAAAGCAACATAATCAAGGAGAAAGGAGACACCGTTAACTTATTGTACAAAAAACTATTACGTACTTGGACTCTCTTATTCTTCCCAGAAAGTCATGCCATGCTATGTCACCGTCACGTAATTTTATGCACAAGGAGGAGGCTCTATTGGGAATTACTATTGCCATTGGTGACTGAGCATCAACAACTCGACTGCAATCATAGCATATACACACAAAAAAATTAAATTATTAAACACAAAGACATCAGGTTTAGGGTGTGGCATGTTGGTAAGCTATACCCCTGCAAGATAGCACAGCTAATTCAAAAACTGATACCCCCATCCATGATTTACAGCGCATGAAGTTAACCTTGAGGCTAACACCTCTTTTGCATGCTGAAGAGGTGTGGCTTACACCTCTGAGGTGTCGCTTACACCTCTGAGGTGTGGCTTACACCTCTGAGGTGTGGTGGCCTCATAAGCCTCATGCTGTTTCTGAGACTTAAGCCTCATAAACTTTGTTATAAAGCTTATTATTTTGAACTGATATCCAGTTCTATTCGAAAGTTTAGATCTTCTGAACTGATATCCAATGCTATTCGAAAGTACAACATTTAAACTTTGTTAATATCTTATTCTCTGCTAGTCTGGTTCCACACTTTTCTAATTCTTTAAGTCTTCTCTGAATCTATGTTCTATGATCTCTTGTAAATGCTTGGGGGGGATCAGTATGATATTAGTAAGTTTCATTGGTCAACTAAGTAAACATGAAAACTTTTTTTTAAATGCAGTAAATAATTGTGCCTCGAGGATGTGAGCCTTTGAGATCTCAGCAGTTATTTTAACCTGCACAGATGTGAGGCTTATGGAACGTGTTCTAAGATGTTGTGTTTGATATATCTAATTCAACGTTATCCGCTATGGACTTGAGGATTATGCCTAATTGTGTCTGAAGGCTTACACCCGACTCATATGAAATGCCTCAAAGCTGGATATCAGCAGTTTATTTTCACTCGTGCAGATGTGAGGCTTATGACACATGTTCTAAGATATTGTGTTTGATATCTCTAATTCAATGTTAATTGCTATGGAGTTGAGGATTATGCCTCATCGTGTCTCGAGGCTTACACTCGACTCATACAAAATGCCTCAAAGTTAAAACCACCTTTTCATGTTTGTAATAAAAAATTAAAAGATACAATAATATACTCCCTCCGTATCTAATTAGATGACCTGTTTGCTTTTCACGGAGTTTAAGACAATTACTGTAGAATTTATAAAAAGTAAAAGGTTTTTGGTACTGTAGCGGTACTGTAGCGATAATGTAGCTGCTTTTTGAGTGGGATTCTTTCCAAAAAAGGAAAGGAGACAATTAATTTGATACACCAAAAAGGAAAGTGTGACAAGTAAATAGACATGGAGGGAGTACACAATAATATATATTTTACAATAATATACATAATAGATAACACAGATCCCCTCCTCACCTGTACAAGGGTAACCTTTTCTCTCCACGGGCAATAAAATCCTGTGGTATATCGTCAATACATAGAGAAGAAATCTGAGCATCAAATCTAGAGAAGGGGACAAAACACATAAGGTGATGAACAATGTTAATGCAGTATGCACTGACTGTTACAGAAATTAAATTCAACCCCATTTCCTCCCCCACCCATCCCTCTATCCCAATAAATAATCCCAAAGTAAAAAGATAAGATTTTGAACAAAGCCTAGTTCATAAAAATTTGATTCCAGGGTTTAAAAGCACACTTTTTATCTTTCCAATGCTAGTTCTTTTTTATTTTTGTTGATATTGTTTTCCAACACAAGAGTTATGCCTAACAAATACGTTGAGCTATTTTATGGTCTTCACTTTGTTTTATTCTTAATCTCTCTTTTTTATTAGGAAACTTAAGGAAAGCGGATAAGAGAAAAGGAAATGTATTGCTGCAGACTGCAGTTTAAAGAAACATCCAGTCAATATATATTTGGAAAAGTGATGAAAGCAAAAAAGAAAATTATTATGAACTAAGTATTGTCAAAATAATAAACGAGAGACCTGAGTAAAAATTGCTTTCGCTTTTGACAATACGAGCCGTGTAGATATTTCTTTGGGTGCAAAACTATCAGCAATTGACACTACTACATAGCCAGCAAAAACAATAGCCAAGTAGATCACCACTGAATTGACATCCATTGGCATATCAATAGCAATAGAAGAGCCTTTCTCCAAACCCAGGGTTTCAATAGCACGTGCAACTTTCCTATAAAATATAGTGCAGATTACAATGCCACAACAAGTAAGCATAAGGAACCATATAATAAACAGTGACGTAAGAATAACTATACACAAATGAGCTAGCAATACCAGACTTCAGAACGTAGCTCCTCAAGGGTCATTTTTTTAAGAGGGGTTTCATCATCTCCTTCATTACACCAAATTATAATTACGTCATGCGGAGTCCTTTTTCCATTTAGACAGAGGCACTGCTTTGCTGGATTCAAACGTGCTCCAGGAAGCCACTTCCCACCTGGATGAGATGGATCCACAGACAAAATACATTGAGGAGGAACTGCAAATGAAACATTCATCTCCTCCAATACAGTTTTCCAGAACACCTAGAGAATACATATATAGGGGCCACAGGAGACACATTACTGCTTGTAGCTAATAGTTAATAACACAAAAATCATAATAGAAAATTTGAAAGATATATCCGGACAAATGCATCTGATCTACCTCCGGGTTTGAGACAGAGAATTCCTGAAAATCAGAGAAGCTTGAGATTGGGTCTTGATATGTTGATCCTATTAATTCCTTCCCACATCTCTTTAGCAACTGACCAACATTAGTTGATATTGCACTATTCCTGTTCAAAAGATATGCACCGCATGAGCTTAATAATTGTTCATATTCCCTTTCAAATGATAAATGGGAATACCCTGATTGAAGAAAAACGTAATTCAGCAGATATAAGTCAAGAACACATAACAGATGCAGTCTAATCATTAGAATGAAATGGAATCAAATTATTGTGATCAGATTTAAACTAAACTTCCTACTAAACAATAACGTTTCAAATATCTACTTTTTGAATAAATATGGAGTAGCCTTTATGAGTAGCATTCCAAATCTTTAATAGAGTTTTAAGCCATAATTGTCCATGAATAAGAATTCTTTAATATAAACAAAGAACAAAGAAGAATGTGATGGTCAAGTGTATCAAATGCTTTATCCTTCAAACTTTTATTGTTCGCTTTAAGCATCAGTTGCTTAGCAAATGGTTTGAACGAGCAGAAGCCATGTACTGGTTTACTTGCACAAATGAAACAATGACAAAGAAACTAACGGGCCGGGTAACCAAGCAGGCGGGTCAGGTCCAAAGTCCTTGTAGCAGCCATAGTACATCATCAGATGCAAGGGGAAAGGAAGCTCCGGAGTAAGCAAATCCTTGGAGACACGCTGCCATGTCTGGGGAGTGGCAGGTCCATAATGATCGACAATCTTGGTGAGCTTTTCGTGAAACTCAGCTGCAAGATCATAGTTTATGCCCAAAACTTCGATATCTGCAATGCTAATTGAATCCAAGCCTTTGTACTCAGCAGTAGCCATGGTACTTGAACTTTCTTCGTGTTTCTTTATCAGATAGAGTAAGTCACAGTTTCATTATAGCAAACAGTTGGTGTGCAGTCCTTGGTTTTATCTATGCGGATTGCAAATTCACAAATCGGGAGTGCCTATACAGTACGACCTGTACAAGGTGAGCACCCTATACCGGTACGGTTTTATATTTTTTTTTTTCCTTTTGTTTTTAAAAAATGGTAATAACTTTTTTATTTTTGATCCGATTTTTATAAAATTTATATCAACATTTTTTATTTTTCATGATCTTTCAAATGAGACCAATATTGCCTATGTAATTTTAACATATTAACATTTGCGTGTAAAATATGTAATTTTACATGTTAAAATATGTAACTCACGTTCAGTCAGGCCAAATACAACTCGTGTGTATAAATATGTATCTCTACGTGTAATAATATGTAACTTTACGTAAAAAAATATGTAACTCGCGTTCAGACAGGTCAAATGCAACTCGTGTGTATAAATATGTAACTCGCGTGTATAAATATGTAACTTTACGTGTAAAAATATGTAACTTTACGTGTAAATATATGTAAGTCGCGTTCAGGCATGTCAAATGCAACTCGTGTTAATATATATGTAACTCGCTTTTAAAAAGATGTAACTTGCTTATAAAAAGATGTAACTTGCTTATAAAAAGATGTAACTCGCTCATAAAAATATGTAACTCATTGTATTATCAAATGTGACTGAGGCCACTGATCCACTCCCAAACAGATTCGATCTTCTATTTCACAAACCTATCATCTCCCAAACAGAATCGATTTTCCTTATAATCCAATACTCATTAATATAATAGTTCGATAATTTGTTAAAATTACATTAGCAATATTGGTCTCATTTGAAAGATAATGAAAAATAAAAAATGTTGATATAAATTTTATAAAAATCGGATCAAAAATAAAAAAGTTATTATCATTTTTAACAAAAAAAGCAAAAAAAAAAGGGGAGGGCAACGTCGTTTTGCAACCGGGCGCACCATCCTCATGGTGCGCCGGTTGCACGGTATAATTTGCCGCAAATCGGCTGCGGATTGGCGATGGACGAACAACATTTCATCATTTATGTTTCTCATAATCATTATTGATTACTCCTGTACAAAATGAAATTCACACTTCACACAAATTAAAGGAAATAAATTTGACTTTACTTTAGACTACACTGTTGTGACACTGTTTGACACTGTTTAACACTGTTTTGCACTGTTTTACACTATTTTGATGTAGATAATTTGTCAAATAAAGAAGAGAGAATAAGTGTGAAGTTTATTTTGGACCTACCCAAAAAAGGAAGCGTGAATTTCGTTTGGGACCGGAGGGAGTATTTTATTATTGGTCCGTATGTCTTAAAGATGGGCTGGTTTCCCATGCCAATATTCACGAGTCATCTATCTCATTTTAGGTGTATTAAATTCAAGAAAATTAAATTAGCAACTAATTCCACAATTAGACCCAAATAGTAACTTCAATTTTTTGTTCGAACCTTTTAACAATTCCTTTATCATATTTATATATAGATCTTTGGATGATAAACTTTTAGTAATTGTTAACTTTTAATATTTGAAAAGCTATTCTTTAAAAAAACTAATTGAAAAAAGAAAAAATGTGTCTATTTGATAAAAAACATTTTTTTATACTACTAAGTTGTTGTAACTAATTAAAATTAAAAGCTATAGATTTACTCTCAGAATCTACTCGGTGTTGCTTCTCAAATAAAATCTTTAACTTTTTTAAAGCTTTTTTGAATATTTTTAAAAGCTTTAATTATTGTCATATACACGAAACATACAATCAAAAGCTTTAAAGACTTTAAACATCACAAAACCTGAAAGATATATAGAGGCTAATGTCTACTAAACATGCGCCTAATTTATGAGTGAGACTAAAAGTGAAAGAATGAAAGTTAAAGATCAAAATTAAAGATATTTAATTTTAATGGTAGACCAAAACGGGAACTGATACTTTAGTTTGTATATATTTAAAAATTAAATAAAAATAATAAGTGGTTGGGATATTTTAACAATTAATTATGCCTTTTAAGAACTTTTGATTAAATTACTCTAGAAATTCATAAGACTCCAACATTTTAGAGCCGAGTATACTGCTCGAAATCGTCCATGTACTCATGTCATATAAAGAAAAAGATCTTACTTTCTGGTTTATAAAAAAGTAAAGAAATGATCTTCAAAGATTGAACTTTTATTACATAACTAACATTTTTCAATATAATTAGAGCATCTTCAATGCTAAAACGAGTGCATACTTGACATGAGTGATAGTCAATTAAAAAACAATAAATAGAATATCTCCCTCCTTATTTGAAGGATTCGAAGGATCTTACATCATTTTGGTAAGTTTTTCTTCATAATGTCAAGCACAATGTCTAGATGCAAACATTATTGTTGACATTGCAAAGAAAAACTTACCAAAACACATAAAACCGTGGAAAGAAAGAGAAAGAAATGTCATAAATTTAATCTTTTGTGTCTATCTCTCTCATGTCACATGTGCATCGCGCACATTATAGCATTGGAGATACTCTTATACAAATTAGTTTGCGCTGATTATGGCGGGAGGTCCGCCCATTTTCCCACACGTTTCACAAGAGGTTTATATTTGATACAATTGAGTGAAAAGATTTTTTTTATTCTTTAGCCGTTCATAATCTTAGTGACTTAAAATATTTTAAAAGAAAACGTTATTTAAAAACAAAGCATGATATAATATGATCATTTGAGTTTGAATCCAGCCTGCCTACTTCTCTTTGACGTGCTGCTGGCTGATCACCATATCTGGAGATCATCTATAGACGACGAGGCTGGCCGGACTCGGTGCCTGCAAGGCAAAAGATCGGCATTCTTATTTTTCCGACTTTGTTAACCTGGTACTGCACTTGATGACTAGGGCACTTTTTGGCAATACAAAATTAGCTGATTCTGCTGAAATTTATGAAATTCTAGTTGTGTTGGTTGATTTTGTTGATTTGTTAAAAAGTTATTTTTAAAATATATTTTGTTAATAAAATAAAGAAAAAATTATATGTAAAATAACTAAAATGGTCCTTTACAACTAGGCCTGTCGATGGGTCGGGTCCGAGTCGGGACGTAGTGTTCCAGACCCGGATCCGCTAAGTTAATAATGAACCCGGACCCGACCCGTTTACCCGGCGGATCTGAAAAATTGGACCCAGACCTAGACCCAACGGGTCTCGGAATCGGGTCGGGTAGACCCGCCCGCCAAGTATGATACGCACACCATTATAAACTTTGTGAAAATATCAAGACATGTATGTGAAATATACAATAAAGTGTACAAATTTAAAAACAAAATATATCTTCACTTTTCAAAAAAATCAAAGTCTCTCATAGAAAATTAGTACTTTTATTTAATAAAGTATCGATTCTTGTACATGCATATAGTTCCACACTTTGCGCCGCTTTCTCTAGCACAAAAAACTCGTAGAATAAACTAGAAATGAAGTCATAAAAGGTCTCTTGGACTACTAAGAGTATAAAATCATATGTAGTATTATATATGATAATGATATAATAATATTAATAATAATAGTAATAAATATTAGTTTTGGGGTATGTTACTATCTTGATCAGTATCACTTATATAGTATTTATGTATTAATGTGTATATTTTTATTGAATAATCACACATTCACAACTATTTTTATCGGAGTATATATGTATATTAGTTTCTATTTTATTTAAAGTGTTATAACTAATCACTTTATGTTTGAGTGTATGTGTATACAAATAAGAAATTTTATACGGGTCCGGGTCCTTAACGGGTCGAAATCATATGTACCATACCCTGACCCGTTTATTCAAAATACTAACGGGTCCGGATCCAGGTCCGGGTAAACGGAATAAAATATAGACCCGTACCCATTAAAAACATCCGGGTCCGGGTCGGGTCCGGGTCTAGACCCGACCCATTGACAGGCCTATTTACAACAACTTCAGCCAATATAGCCAGAAAAGTTACTCCAACCTTACCTTTTCTTATTATTATGCAATTCAGCGCGCGAAATAAAAAAACTACGTGTTTAGTGAAAAAATTGGTTGATAAGCCAAAAAAATGGGCTACCAAACGGGCACAATATGACGAGTATATTGCAGTTAGATACCGTGGGAGCGGCTCATAGTGAGCATCCTGCTCGCACTGCTCCCACGCTTTTCTTTTAAAATTTTAACAGCGGATTGATGTTGTTGATGAATGTTACAAGTATAAAACAATGATCAACGTATTGCATATCATGATTGATATGTCTTGTACGTTATAACTCCAATATTAAATGGACAGTGAAGGCTTAACGGTATTATTTGGGAATACTCAATAAATTTAAAATAATATTTTTTTTTAATAGAATATACAAAATATCTAATTTATTAATAAAACAATATTATTATAGAATTTATTCATTTGAAATACTCTTATTTATCCAACAACCCCCCACATATTTCAAATGAATATTTTGAGATTTTTAAAATTAGTTTAGAAAAATATCTGCTGGATTAAAGGAATGAGACTTTAAGTTTGGTGTCCGTAGACTTGAAACCAAACCGAGACGATTAAGTCTTAATAAACCGAGCTTATGGTGAAACCTATAGTTTCTTGAAACCAACAAGCTACTATTGGTAAATCAGGGGCTTAACGGTCGTGTCTCACCCCGCACAATTTCTCGTTATTACGCCGTTGTGCGCCGTAAGGCCATGCGCGTGCTTGGTTTTCATGAGTGCTCTAGAAGTTTTGTCATGCTTCATGGAGGCGGCCCCACCTCACACTCATATAGGTGATATCATCAAGTGTGAACCGCTTTTGCACACCACCCTAAAATTAAGGGCTATGATAATCATTAAGAGCTTTTAGCTCACCCTCTCAAAGAATGCGGATTCTAGCCTATATCTCACATCATGGAAATGGGCAATTTTAGTTAGGCTAGCAGAACTAAATGAAAGACTTGTTATTACCCATTTGAACTTGCTTCATGGGATCTCCAATCACACAAGTTGGGTTCCCATCCCCATTTGTTTCAAAGTGACACAAGTCCCATTTCCTTAGATGTTTCGGTTATCAATTTTCGTCCTAGGGCTTTTGTCAAAGGATCCGCTAAA